GGGGTCGGCGGGCTGGCGGGCCGCGAGCGCACCTGTCGCTCGGGGAGGGAGAGGGGTGGGGTAACTTGTGCAGCAAAGGCGCTGTCCATCCCTAAACTCTACATACTCGGCATGGTCTGAGGAGTTCAGCCCGCCCGCCCAAGGATAGGAGCCGTTTAACAGTCATAAAGTAGGGGGTTGTGGAGCTCTTTGAGCAGGGAAGGGCGTGCCGGGACTGACCAGGGGCAACACGTAACCCGGTGCGCGCGCATCGTGGCGGCACGCCCCCCGCCCCGCGGAGCACTGCGGGGCAGGCCGCGCCAGCGCGCCAGCCGCACGCAGGAAGACAGGGGAAGGGGCGGCTAATGAGTGCCGGGGTAATGCGATGTTGCAGAATTATGGCGCAAATCAGATTTAATTTAATTTCAAATGGTCAGAGAGCAGCACTAATGGCGAAGGCGCTGGCTGCCCGTCCCGTCCTCACACCGTATCGCGCCTCGCGGCCGGAACACCACCCCGCGCCGCCGCCCAGCCCAGCCCCGCGCGGCCACCGTAAAAGGAAGACAAGTTGGCCATCGTTTAGTACAGTGCGGCGGGCACCAGAGCAGGCAAGCGAGCGAGCGGGCCGCGGAGCGCGAACGCAGGTCGGCAGTACACCGCGGCAGCGCGGCCCGAATGCAGCACACCGAGTAGAAAACAATATTTCCCCGCAGCAGAGCAAGCAATTTCTAATAAAAATGTTGTTTCTTTTTCTTTATTTTTTTGCCAACAGTGTGGCGCGTGCGTCACGCTGCACGGCCAGCAGTATAGTGCACCCCGCGCCGCGCCCCCGCTCTACATTCCGCCACGAGCGCGCGTGCAAACGCATCCCCGCTGCTGCCGACCAAAGCTCGCGGAACTTTCCATTACATTTTAAACGCGAGAAAAATAACTTCCTGAGCAACATCAACCGTCTATACACCAGCAAATGAAAAGAAATTGAACATTGTCCGTTCTTGTGACGTTCACATTTTTTATTATTTTATTTTTGGTACGAGGTCGCGGCGATTACTACTACCTCGTGTGGGCTTCGGCGCACTTATCATGACTCTAACCGTGGGCCGGGCTCTTATCGGGGCGGGGCGGGGTGACCGACTCGCCCACCCGGGCTAGGAGGGCGTTCCGGGAACAAGGAGGACACACACCTGGCCCGGCCGGTGCACGAGCCTGGCCCGACCCCTATAATATTCGGAGGGGTTGATCCGTCGTCGGCCGACTGGCTCGGCCCGCACTGGCCCACATGCGTGCGCACACGTCACACACTCACCTGAGTAGCACCACGCCGGCCACACGACGGGGCTGACGGTGTCCAGTTCTCGCATCATGCCCGGCAGGGGGCAGGGGCTGCAGCTGCGCTGGGCGGCGGATGGCGACGGCAGCGAGGGCCTCCTGCTCCGGCCGACGACAGGTCGGCGACGACGGCGAAGAGGGGGAAGAGGTCGAGGGCGACGAGGAGGGCGGTCACCAGGGCGCGGGCAGCAGCGTCATGGGGGCGCAGCGCACCGAGCCTCACACACGCGCTGCCTCGTCACCTCTTTCACAGCTATCGGCGAGGGCCTGGTGGGCCTGGCGGGCCGGGCGGGCCGCGGCCCTGGGGGGCATTGGTGTGTCCGATAACAGGCAGCCGGGGCGCGGCGTGGCGCGGCGTGGCGGGGCCGGGCCGGGCGATAACGTGGCCGGGGCACACCGCGACCAGAGCCGCGAGAGAGCGAGGCGAGGGCACACCTTTGTTTACCCCTTTCACTCGCGGGCTCCCCCACCCCGCTTGTTGGCCGACGAGGCCGAGACGCACTCCAATTGATACCGCCAAGTTCCTGAAACAGGGAGAAGGAAACGACCGGCATGATTCACAAGCACAACAAGCTCGACGACGACGCCCCGCCCGCGCGCCGGCCCCGCCGCGCCCTCACGACAACGCCAACCCGAGCAATAACCCGCGCGACGCACGTCAGAGACGCCTGCGACGCACACCGGGTGTAGTTAGTGCGTCTGGTGAACCCGTTGCGGAGTGTTGACACGGCCCGGCCCACCAGGCCACGCCAGCGCTATCAACGGCAGCCTTATCAATCGCAGAGCCCGCCCGGGGCTGCCACCAGGCCGCCGGGGCCTAGGGAACGCCACCTTCGACCTGCCCGCGCTGGAGGCAGCGGCACGGCACGGCGGCGAGCAGCGGCGACGACCTCTATCCGCACCGCGAAACGATCCGAGTGTGCCCAAAAGTACACACGGAGGCGGCCGCGGGCCGGGCAGGCAGGTGCGCGGCGCACCGCGGGCTCGCCTCGCGCGGCCCCGCCGAGTCATCAAAGCACCGCGCCGCTGCCGCGACACACACTCCATCAAAACGAAACCAGGCGAACGGCCAGAATGCAAACCGTGCCAGTGGAGCCGCGGTTGCGCCCGGCCGGGGCCGGGTCAGGCCTCTATTGGCTTACGCACAGTCCACCTCTTATCAGCGGTCGTGGCGTGGCGTGGCCGGGGGCCCGCCGGGGCCGGGACCCGCCGGGGCGCGCACGACCTGTTGCGGGGGGCGGCCGCGAGCGGTGACGGCCAGGGGACCGCGCGTAAGGCTATGGACGGCCACCTACAGGCCCTGGTCACTCCTGCCCCGCGGGCGCCCGCCTGCTGTACAACAGGTGGGGCCTAAAGCAAAGACAACGGCGAGCCCGCCCGCGAGCCGCGCGTGGCGTGGCCGGCCCGGCCGGAATTGGCCGGTTTGTGCGGCGGCGTGTCTACCGAAATGGAGTGCGAGCGGGACAGAGCAGCCGACACGGCTTCGCGTGCTGCACGGCACGGCACGCGGCCGGGCGCGGCGCCGCGGAGCAGCACAACTGCACAGCACAGCACAGCGCAGCGCGCGCGGCGACGGCGCATCGCGTGCGAGCGGCAGAGTGCAGCGCATGTCGGCGGCCCGCTGCAGCGCACACCGGCGGGCGATGGAGGCCGACAGCAACCCGCGCGGCGCACACGGGGCGCCCCAGACCCTCCGTTACAACCCCTGGTTGCAACGCCATGCGTGCTCCGTCTTGCCCGTGCCCTGGTTGTTCAGCACAACCTACCCGACCCCGAACACCGCCCGCTCGAGTGACACAGACCAAAAGAACGGAGAACTTTGCGGCGAGGACCTGCTGGATACGGATAGACAGGGAAGGCCTGCACGACCCTCTGTACTTCGCCGACGACGGGCCTTCTCCCACGGAGGATCTGCTGCTCTCCCTCTCGCGGCCGGCCGACGACGGGAACCTCCTTCCGACGCGGGCGGCCTTCCGTCCTCCTCCTCCTCCCCCGTTGCCCCCGCCGCCGTGGCCCCGCGAGGCCCCGCAGGGCGCGAAGCGTCACCCATAAAGCGACAGAGACAACGGCCCATTGTGCCGTCCTACAAGTCCTGCGCATAACGCACATAGCACCGGCACCTCGGTGTGAAAACTCTTTCCAGGCGGCGCCGCGCGGCGACAGGCGCGGAGACACACAATGAGCCTCTGGCGCAGCCCCCCTCCCCCTCCCCCGCTCTCCGAGGGGCGACAATGACAGCCTTTCAGCGGGCCGGCGCGGCCGCGGCGTGATTTCCGCATAACAGACGACCGGACAGACCTTCCAGCTGGCGGGCAGACGGCCGGACGACGCGGACGCGGCGGCAGAGGCACTGTGTCGTCCACCCGCGCCTCTCGCACGAGTGTGCCGTCGAGGTGTGTGCGTCTCGCCAGGCCGGCCCCGGCCGGCCCCGGCCGGCCCCGCCCCGCGCGGCTCTCACGCCTCAGTGCGCGGTGGACTCCAACCTTTGCCTGCGGCGGAGACCTTGTCCTGCCCCGCGCTATGATCAGGTGATGATGGCCGGGCGGGGAGGGGAGCAAGCCAGCAGGTGACGAGGCGAGCTGCAGCGGCAACCAGCACTAGAGCCACCTCTGCCCCCGCATCGTACGATGGCTTTGGAACAGCCAACCAAAACGCGCCCGCGACTTTATCGCTAGCGAGGCCCAATTACAGGGTCGCGGGGGGGGGGGGGGGGCGAGGAGGCCGCGCCGCACCTCGCGCAGACCTGCTATAGCGTCCGGCCCAGCCGGCGGCCAGCCACCCGCACATCGCCTTGGCTGCCCCCCACGGACGCCTGTGGCGGCGACACTCCTGCACCAGGGTGACCTCCAGGGTGCCCTCCCGTCGCACCTGATTGGTCTCGCACCACGGCGACGTCGAAATAGAGACGCGGTCACGTCACATGGGGTACTCCGCCAAATCAAAAACGGAGAGGAGAGAATAGACGTAAAAAAGTGACAAAACAGAGCTGGCAATGGAACTTATTTAAATTACCGTTTAGGGTTTAGGTTTGCCGTTCTTGTTGTGAATTCGAGATTTCGCGTGTTGAAGGTAATGTAATGTTGGTGTAGTTCTATACTTTACAAATATTTATGCAAGCAGAAGTTCGAAAAATAATAATAAAAAACATGTGTACTACAATTTCTAGCGGCTTCTGGCTCCATTTTGCCAATTCTGTACATTCTGTACATTCGACCAAATACCCTACACTGGCCACGGAGATCGGATCGAAAATTTACATTAAGGTTAGTATGTCCTTTTGAGTATACGTCATCATTATATCAAAGTGGCCGAGTTGTTGAGTTCGAGTGCGACGAGCACCGGCGGCGGCGGCAGCCTTTCTTTCACAGCGGTCGGCGCGGCGCGATAGACTTAGCCCGTCCCGCGATAGATTCACACCAGACAACAGATAGCGGTTATCAGGGCGGCGCGGGAAACACCTAGGCGCGGACAGCGACGCGGCCAGTCAAAA